CAGTATAAGATGCACTTATATGTGTATGAAAACAAGGAAATCAGACAGGAGCATGCATGGTGGTACAGATAAGAACTCTTGACACACAGGAACAGTCATGGGAATAGAGATACCATGAAGATAGGTGGAAAGGTGAGGGAGAAGGGGGAGAAAGGAGCACCCAATCATAATGATCGATGTACTTTTATTCTTGTTATGAATATAATATTCCTACTACATCCAGGCAAATCAAAATAATTTGCTATTGTATCTCAGCTAGAAAATAACCATTTGTCTTTACGTTGAGGTTGGAGAAACTGAGCCCATGGCAGTGAGTTTGACGTTTAGGTATGCTGAAAGAGGAAACTAGAGAGGAATTGATGCCTTTGAGTTATGGTGTTGGCAGGGAATACTGCAAATACCATGGACGGATGTAGTTCAATCAAGATACGCCTTAAAAGTGAGGAAGAAAGGACTTCAACTCATGCATTTTGGACATGCTGTCAGGAGAGAACAGTCCTATAAAAGAGCATCATGCTTGGTGAGGTAGAGACTCGGGGGAAAGAGAAGGCCCTTAAGGAGATGGATTGGCCTGGCCGCTGCAGCAATGAGCTTGAGCAGAACAATTATGAGGATAGCATGGGACGAGGACCATGTTCTGTTCTGTTGCACATAGGGGCACTGCGTCTGCGCCAATTCTACCTAGCAACATCAACAACATGCTGATTCTACTTAATTTTCAACTATTTTTCCCCTCGATAAAAGACAAACAATAGGACAATTTTCAAAACTGGCATCTCAGATTAGGAAGTTGAGATGAAATGAAGGTTAGTCTATATCCCTTTTATTTCCAGCCTTAGTATATCCTTTTTTCTCTCTCTCTAAAAATCATTGGTCAATTTGATTGATAAAAGCAATTCCTTTGCGATGATTTCTTTCCAAGGGAGTTTCCCCTTTCCAGACGCCCCTTACTAGATGCTGAGGGTGGACACATCATCTTGTTAATTGGTTCCTGTCCAGTGGCTGGCCCCCTTTTAGGCCGATGCTCTGCAGTTTAGAAGCTTTAACTCATTGGTATCTCTGAACTTTCCTCCTGCAGGATACACGGGTGCCCAGTGTGAGACCGACATCAAGTGCCATAATAATGCATGCCAGGCTGGCGGGGTATGTGTGGAACTGTCCACAGAGCAACTATATGGAAGCATTGCTGAGCTGCCCACTGCATTCAGCTATCATGAAGCCGCAGGTTATATTTGTGTCGGTCAGCCTGGATTCACAGGTGAGGCCAAGCAGATGGGCGTGACGTGACTTTCTAGCACTTGAGGGCAATCCCATTGGTTCACTGGATTAGCAAGTAGGCTCAGCCAGGTATTGACTCTGCTGCTGTGGTGGAAAGGATACCCAGGTGGGAATGAAAACGTCTTTGTTGACATATCCTAATTCCTCATCATGAGAAAAATGTTTAAAATAAAGATAAAAGAGGTGTATGGTTGATTATTTTTATACATTCTACTGGGAGTTGTTTCACAACTCAAATTCATTACAGGCAGAAAACCTGGAAGTTCGATGTCATTGAATATGAGTATAATAATGTTAAATTTTTATATGATTTAAATTTGATTTTTAAGCATTTTATTGAGGGCTCTTACAATCCATACATCTTGTAACAATCCATACATCAATTGTATCAAGCACATTTGTACATATGCTGCCATCATTATTTTCTAGACATTTATTTTCTATTGAGCCCTTGGTGTCAGCTTCTCCCCTACCCACAATAAATTTGATTTTTAAGAAGTGTTAACATGCTTATTTATATTTATACTGGGAGCAATTACCCATTCTTAAGCAATTTTCTTTATTCTCTAGGTCAGCGGTTCCCAACCTATGGGTCGCGACCCCTTTGGGGGTGGAACGACCCTTTCATAGGGGGTCGACCGATTCATAACAGTAAAAACATGACAGTTATGAAGTAGCAACGAAAATAATTTGATGGTTGGGGGTCACCACCACATGAAGAACTGTATGAAAGGGTCGCAGCATGAGGAAGGTTGAGAACCACCGCTCTAGGTAGAGATCAGGCGCCCTAGTGGTGGAGTGGGTAACGTATTTCGCAGCCAACTGCAAGGTCAGCAATTTGGATCCAGCAGCCACTCTGCGGGGGAAAGAGTAGCGCTTTACTCCCGCAAACAGTGACAATCTAGGAAAGGCACAGGATCAGCTCTGCTGGCTCTATAGGGTACCTAGGGGTTAGACTCGCCTGGATGGTGGTGAGTTTTTATAGCTCAAGTTGCTTCTCATATAAAATTTAATTACCCTGTATTTTTTTCTACAGTATCTGTACTATAAAATCCAGGGGAAATGTGGATTTTTTTTCCAGTCGCAGTTATATTAGTGTTGCTTCTATGTTCTGAAAACTTTCTTACATTTGAGGCAGTCCTCACAGTTGCTACTGAGTAGAAAATGGCCCATATTTACCTAGATACCACTAATATAACCAATCGCAATCCAGGCTTCTAGTTCTCTTCCTCCTCGACAGTTTAAATGATATCTGAGGACTATTTCAGTGTACACTGTGGATTTCTTCTGTAATGAGAGTAGTAAACGAAGAATAAAGTAAATGGGAGCATGCTATTTATTACTAGTGCTGTTGGGTCATTTTGGACTCCCAGTGGAGCGAGGCAGGACACTGCGAGTCCTGCACCGTCCTCGTAATTGCTGCCGCGCTTGATCAGATTGTTGAAGGCCCTGAGTTAACACGTTTCGCTCAGGACCTTCCGCTGTCTCTTTTGCGGTGCGCCTCTACTTTGCCACGCATGACGAACTTTTCCCAGGGCTGGTCTCTTCTGACGTACGCGAGACAAATCTTGCCATCCTTCTTCCCGAGGAGTATTCTGCCCGTTCTTCTTTCTTGGTCGACTCATTCATTCGTTCTCCCGGCAGACCATGGCACTTTTAAGATCCCTCCCCAACTCCAACTTCGTTGGGAAACATAAGGAGTAAGGGTCTTATGCTATTTACCCTAGACATCAGTGGATGATATCAATAGTTAACACTCTAGACCACGAACCAAAAAGGCTGGAGGTTCAAACACACCGCTGGCTCCGTGAAAGAAAGGTCTGCCCGTCTGCATCTGACAGACGATCCAGGGAAAACATGCTGGGACTCAGTTCTGCTCCGATACGTGGGGAGTTGGCGTGGTTCTAAGCGGGCTCCATAGCAACTGGTTTTTACTTTCTACTCACACCTAGCAGTTCTTGCTTTGTTCTCTCACTGTTTCCATTTTGAAGTTCAGTGATTAGTGCTGTTGCGGTGTTCGCTGCGAGCTTGCTGTAGAAGACGTTGGTTGTTCGTTTACATACTGTACCACTGTGAGAACGCCTGGGAGGCATGTTCCCTGGCCGTAATCCAAGCGACAGTTTTCCAGAACACCAGGTTTTCATGCTTTTTACCTTCATAAAAGACATGCAGATAAATCTCGACAAATAATAAAAAAGCATGAAATAAATCTTGTAATACATCACATTTTCTGTGGCTGCTAGAAATCCTATAGGTAAATGTGTCATCTGCAAGTTTATAGGTCTTTCTGGAATATACTTAAAATTTACCTCACCCCTAGGAATATTTAAGTCTCCTGTTTTTGTGTTGCCTGTGCCCTTTAAAAAAGTTATTTACAATGTATTTCATCTGAGTGTAGTGTATGAATTTTTGTTTGCTACTTTTAAATCTTTTCCAGAACAAGTGAAAATTCGAAACCAAACTCACTGCCATCGACTTGGTCAAAACTCATAGCAACCCTGTAAAAAAAATGTGTTGTTGTAATTGATGGTCTCTATTTTACTTTTCCATTAGGAGTCCTGGTGACACAGTGGTTACAAGTTGGCCCGCTCACTCCAAGGTGAGCAGTTTGAACCCCCCAGCTGCTCTGAGGGAGAAACATAGGCTTTCTAGTCCTGTAAAGTATTAGTCTCAGAAACTCACAGGGGCCGCTCCACGCTGTCCTATAGAGTCACGATGAGTCAGCCTCCAGACCGTGGCAATGAGGTTTAATTTACTTCTCTGGGTTCTAATATCCATTGCAATGACTATACTACTCAGAGACAAAATTCATCATTAAGGAATTTTTCAAGAAAGCTAACAAATTGTAAAGCCAATGAGAAATGCTCACTCAGGACCATTGTTTATCAGGACAGGTTTACGAAGTTCTTTCAGGTCTGCTAATAAATGCCCAAAGGGGCATACTGCTCTGTTGGGAGTCTCAAACCGAAGGCATTCAGCTGAAGCTCTGTGAATCAGCAATCCCAGCTCCCTGAATTAAGTTCCAAGAAGCACCCTACTCCTGAAGCCAGCCTCATGCACAAAGACGCAGCTTTACTTGCACCGTGCTTGGAAAGTCCCCCACTGCTCCATGCTCCGGCTGCTGGTTCTGCTGATGTGCCGCTGATGTTATAGCAGCAGGCTTGTGGATCAGGCAGTTCCCCAGGGATCGCAGTTCCAGGGGGTTGGCACGACTCTTGGCTGTTGCTACTAAGGAGAACCCTTCTCTTACTTCTCAGAGGGCTCATTTATACACAGTAGGATGTCCTGGGAGTCCTGTTCATAAGTACTCACTGGGGGATCCAGTCAGATGATTTCCCCACCTTCTTATTAGACCCATACAGGAATAGGTCTTTGGGGGGAGTTAGAGACTTTGGCTAGGAAAGCCACATTAAATAATTCACAGCCCCTCCAAACATAATAGAATTTCCCCTGTGAGTTTATGAGACTTTAACTGTTTACGGGAGTAGACAGCTCGTCTTTCTCCCATGGAAGGGTTGATGGCTTTGAACTGATGACCTTGTAGTTAGCGGTCCAACACATAGCCCACTATGCCACCAGGGCTGTTGGAACAAGGTAGGGAGTTATATGTACACATATAGATGAGAGTAAGTCATGCTCCAAAATCATAGAAACCTTTATTAAACAAGAATAACAAAATGCGAAGCTATGGTTTCTCAAAATGTCTTCCAACTAGGTGCATACAGTTTAAAGGTGGTGTTTCCTTCTCCTTAACCCTTCACTGAAGATGTGTACACTCTTCAATTTACACAGTTAAAAAAATCATTTTATTGGAGGATCTTACAGCTCTTATAACAATCCATACATCAATTGCATCAAACACATTTGTACATATGTTGCCATCATCATTTTCAAAACATTTTCTTTCTACTTGGGCCCTTGGTATCAGCTCCTCGTTATCCCCCTCCCTCCCCCACCCTCCCACCCTCATGAACCCTCGATAAATTATAAATTATTGTTTTCATATCTTACACCATCTGCTGTCTCCCTTCACCCACGTTTCTGTTGTTCATCCCCCTGGGGGAGGGAGGTTATACGTTGATCATTGTGATCAGTTCCCCATTTCTTCCCCTTCTCCCACCACTTTCCCCCTACCCTTGTGGTATCACTACGCCCATTACTGTTCCTGAGGGGTTCATCTGTCCTGGGTTGCATGTATCAAGAGCTCTTCTCTGTACCAGTGTACATGCTCCGGTCTAACCGGATCTGTAAGGTAGAACAGTTCTACCAGTTACACACCCCTTTTAAGGATTGGTATTCGGTGACATCAAGCAACCCTATGCACAACAGAGTGAAGCACTGTCCATCATCTGCCATCCTCACAATTGTTGTCATGTTTGAGGTCATTGCTGCAACCACTGTGCCAATCCATCTTATCCAGGGTCTTTCTCTTTTCCTCTACTTTACCAAGGATAATGTTGTTTTCAAGACTGCCCTCTCCTGATAATTTGACCAAAATAAATGAAGCAAACTCTCACTGTCCTTATTTCTAGAGAACATTATGACTGTACTTCGTCCAACAATATTTATTTATTCTTCTCATTGTCCATGGTACTTTCAGTATTCCTTGCCAACACCATAATGCAAAGGCATCTACAGTGTCTTCTCTAGCTTCCCTTATTCATTACCCATGTGCTTTCACGTGTACATGAAGTGATTAAAAATATCATTTCTTGGGTCAGTCACACTTCAGTTCTCCAAGCGACTTCATTGCCCTTTAACACTTTAAGTAGGATGTGTGCTGCTCATTTGCCGAATGCATTACATCAGTTGATTTTTTTTTTGATGGCTGCTTCCATGAGCATTGATCATTAATCCAAATAAAATGAAATCCTTGAAAACTTCAGTATTTTCTCTGTTTATCTTTATGCTTCCAATTGGTACAGTTAAAAGGATTTTGTTTTCTTTACATTGGGTTGCAATCTGAGGTACCCCCCCAAA